GCATCAGGTCTGATGATGCTGCATCAGGTCTGATGATGCTGCATCAGGTCTGATGATGCTGCATCAGGTCTGATGATGCTGCATCAGGTCTGATGATGCTTCCAAACTGACTGAATTGTTGATCAACAGCAGCAGGAAGATCAGATTTTTCAGATTCAGGTCGTCTCATTATTTCATATAAATGAACTGAAAACATGTTTCTACCTTTTCTTCTTCTCCCCTCTGACCTCCATCTATGGACCTCACCAAGCTCCGCCCAGAAACGCCCCCTAAAATCCCACGTGGCTGCATCGCTCACAAACAAAGCCTCGCGGAGCTTAGTTTCTATGTGTAAACATGGCGTCTTTCGTTTCAACTGACTCTCTACAAAGTATTTCTGAGTCGATTAGTGTAGCATTTCTGCCGGATTTTCACAAAATATCAACCACGACAATGGACAGGGGAACCAACAAGTTCATGCCATCTTTTTTGGACGAAATAAAGATGTTTGAGCCACGCGATGCCTCCAACATTGTGCGCGTCGCAGCAAAATGTTACCGGTAGACGAGGAAAACAGCAGATCCTCACACCCTCAGCATAAATATAGCTGTGGATGAGATCAGTGATGCCTGTTGTTCTTGCAAGGCTGGGTAAGTCGGGCATTCATGGTTTTGAGGGTTACTTTTGAAATCAGTGATTTCTGTTGTTGGTATATGTTTGAGTGTGTCTAGGCCTGATACTCGGTACTCGGTACTAGTGTGGCTAACACGATTACAGTTTAGTAAAAAACCTTTTCAGGTAAAATAAAATCATTAATGCATGTCAGATACGGTACACATTTTATTGATCTTACAACGGTTGAGCTGCAAATGCGGTCGTGCACAAGCTTTGATCCAAGCTAGGCATTCCGTATCAGATTTGGGAAATCTGTGAATTTTATTTCCACAAATACGATCAGGATACCTGACATCGCCTGTACAGATTCCCCACTGACAGTGGAGAACCATTCTTATTTGAGTTCTGTCGCAAAAACTTTGATTGTGTAGATTGTGGTCTGCTAGTCCACAATCTACATTAGCATGTGTTTACTACTTTAGCTTTTGTTTGTGAGACGGTCAACACATGGTAGCTGCGCTGTGACGTCAAATGGGCATTAGCCAATGAAACGCGGACCCTGTGGTAAGGTCCATCCTCCATGATTTTCCTCCCTACTCTTCCATCCTCCGTGTTTTGGAGACGGTTACCTTGGCAACGGCCAACATGTTTGATGTCGATCTTGAGCTGCTTGAGGCAGGACGCC